GCCTTAAATAGAAACATATGAGTGGACTAGGAGTGAGAGAGAGACAGAGAGAAACAGGGAAGGAGGCTGGGTCCATGTTTATGTGAGACAAAAGAAGAAAGCATTTCAGTTGGGGTTAGGCCACTGGATTCTCTCTCTCCTCTTCTCTGATGTTTAACCTTTTCAGTGCCAGCAGTGATTTTATTTACTGACTTCATATGGTCCAAATCAGATGGGAGCTGCTTGCCTGTCTGGCCACACAGAGATGAGGCATGAAGATTCAGATGATGAAAAAATGAAAACTCATACACAGTTATTTTTTACTACTTATAAATTACCTCATTGATTCCTTACAGGAGGGATTATAAAAGCAGTGGCCAAAAAGCTGATCATAGGAAATCATCAAGCAAATGTAACCCCCTCACATTGATACTGGACTGCTCGAAGTGCTGTATTTTAATCATGCGCTAGTAACACTCATGTACACTGAAAGCAATTTTTAAACATTACTCATACAACATTAGTGCACAGCAGCTGCAGTATGCTCACCGTGGGGTTAAGGTTAGTGACAGCAGTGTTAAAGAGCAACTTTAACTCTTTTAGCTTTAATGGGTCCCCTACACAAAAGTGCCCATCACTTATTTTTAGATGTTTTAATGATTAGAAATGATATATGACAGTCACCTACAGGTTATAAAACTGTAGCTCTAGTTTTAATGTCTACTGCCCACAAACAACTCAGATTTCTTGCCACTTGAAATCAAAAGCAGTGACAATGGCTTCCATGTGAATGTTTTTTTTATGGGCAAAATGTTCAAGGATACATTATAAATGTAAAATTTTTTCAGATATTTTTTGGGAAATATAGAGAACATAAATAGTGAATTGACCTAGATCATTAGGGAGACTGTACATGTAAATTATTAATTCAAAAACACCTTCATTGGCACTGAACACAGTATTTGTTCCTAAAGATGATACTGTAATTCCTAGGGAGTTTAGGCTGGCTATTTAAAAAAGCTGGATTTGTTCTTATGTAATGAAACTCGATGTTCATCAACATATTTGCACCTGCTGCAATATGTTCCCTTACACCAAAGACAAATCTTAGCCACTGATTCACATCATCATCACACTGACTGTGGATTGAATCAGACAAAGGCTCATCCCTGGCAAACGGCACTGTGTTGTCTTCAACCAGCCTCTTAGTGTCAGTAACAATTTTGGAGGTCAATTAGGAAAGACACAGTGTATTTTAAAAATGAATCTCCCTTTGCAGCAAGAAGCCTTTTTCATTCTTTTGAAAAATAAGACTGAATCAGATGTATAGACAAGGAGTACAGAGTAAATATGATGAAAACAGAGAACATGCAGTGGACAGATGGCAATAAACGTATGAAACTAGGCAGATTAAGCCTAGCTAGTCCATGGCTAACTGCTGATCACAAAGGGGCAGCAGCAGTGACAGTTTAGAAATGAAGTGTTCATTTCTGATGAAGAAAAACACAATCTTTGTGGCTGAGAATAAAGCTAAGCAACAAACATACATTGAGATTTGTCAGCAAATCTCTCTGTCTTTCCACTTTCCAGCATCTGAGAAAGTAAATTCTCTGCAGGCAGCATCTGAGTCTTTGTCAGACCCTGAACAAGAATTGTATTGTAGGAGTTAAGCTGTGCATATCCTGTGTGCTATGCTACTGTTCATTGAGATCTAAGAGAAGATCTGCCTAGCTTAGAACCAGTTCTGACTATGATTAAGTCTACTGAAGTCTTGAGACTCAAATAAACACATAATATGGGAACGACTTATACATGCAGCTGAACTCTGGCTTAACCATTTTATGAGAATTTAACACATACAACTCAGATAAATAAAAAGAGGCTGAAGCATTTATGCAGTGCTTAAAACATAAAGCAAACATCTCTACATGTTGTTACTCAAATAAACAGGCAAAAAACACCAGGGAATGCTCATGACCTTCCACCACCACCAGGCTAGACTGGATATTTACCTCTGTCTGCATTTAGCATTTTCCCAGGAGGTGAAATAAAGCAAAGGGACAAAAAGCGGAGAATGTAAGCAGCCTATTTGCAGGGAGCAATCAAAGTCAGCCTAAGGTAATAAAGCAGCACAGATCCAGACATTTACAAGCTTTATGGTGTTGTAATGGCAGCCATGCCTTTGAGACACACCATGAGTCCTGTTATGTGAATTCATGGACCTGTTACATTCTGCCTTGCGTGACAGTTTGACTGTTTTTGTTGAAGCTACAGTATGGCTGTTTGAGGTTATCTCCGAGTTGTACACTTAGTTTTTTCTTTGTTTGACGGTCTATTCAAAGAGGGATTTGTCTTGCTCCTAACAAGTACTGACACAGTGCTAGTTCTAATGGAAGGAAATAACATACAATATCTGTGTCTTGTCACAGCAATGCCTCAATTACATTTAAATGTCTTAAGGATCATGGGCTAAATGTTAGCCAGATGGATGAATCTGTGATTATATTTGTTCAGTATGTGTGTTTATACATGTTCTTTCTCTTGCAAACTAGGGACAACTTCCATTCTGCTTCTTCTTCTCTTGACTCATCATTACTATACCCCTAATGTTGGATGAGGTCACAGATATCAATTTAAAACCATGTTGCAGACAAATGTAAAGTAAGAATCTTGACGCCTGATTTTAGTCTAATGCCCCTCCTCACATGCAGATCTAAGGGTCCATGTCCTGGCACTGTGCCCAGCTGTTATGTTGGCCAGCCAGGTCTGCAGAGGTGGATGGAAAGACTGCAGAGAGAGAGGCTGGGTCTGAGCAGATGGGTGGAAGGAGAGGCTGATGACAGCGCATGCAAAGCAGACATTGATAAAAATCTGAAGTGCCAAAGAAATAAAATGAAAACCCTGCCGTGATGCAGCTGGAATGCTGCTCTGCCACAGCAGCGCATGCATATTCAACTTGTTGACACAGACACACAAGGCTACCTGAGGCCTCTTTCCTCGGGCTGTCTGTAAAGCCGTACATCCATACTGTAGACGGAGAGAAGAGAGGAGAGAAGCACAGTGAGATTAGTTTGACAGCATGCATGAGTAACAGTATGGCAGAGCACACTTTTATCACACCAAGAGGCAGACACAGACACCTGCACATTTAGCACTGGATCCGATGCCTGACCCTGCTGAGCTGGGAATGATACACACTCTTCTTCACACTGAACTGACTCCAGAGTTTTTGATGGTTAAAAAAACACACACACACAGAGAAAAACTAGCCACTCTTTAACTACTATGTATTACAAACAATCCTTCCATTTTTTTAAAGCCTTACTCAAACCTTGTTTTCTTCTACTGCAAGACGTTACCCATACTCCCCTTCCTCTATCTCGTCATATACTTCTCCATTTATTCCATCCGTCTAGCTGGAGCTCCTGGAATGTCTGAGATGGTTGTCAGCCACTTCTAAAGCTATTCCTGACTCCCCACCCATGGTCTTCAAAAACATCTCTGACCCCAGCCAGGAAATTAAACATCATGCTGACAAATTAAACACCTCAGAGAATTCGAAGACAGAGGAAGCACTGATCAAAGATCTGGGGTGCAAGCTAAAACTCTGAGGCTTCCTTAAGGCATCGATGATTAGAAGCTTGATTTGAGATCTATCAGACCAAGATAATATTTTCATGACTGGCTGTCATCTTTCCCTGGAGGTGAGCTACCATTACGGCTGCAGAAATACCTGAGAAACAGAACATAACAATATCAAGGAACTGAAACCAGGACCAGGAAAGGGCAGGTTACTGAGGAATGTCCTGCAAGAAATGTCCATCACCATGTCCTGTATACTTATATTTGACCTTATAATCATGTTTTGCTTTAATAATACAATACTAATAATCGATAAATAATCAATATTAGCATCAACTCTGCTTTATGTATGGAAATCAATGAAAATATGTTGGCCCCTTAGCACGTAAACTTCGGAGGAACAAGCAGTATCCTGCACTAGGACATCTGTACTATAAACAAGTGAAACAGGATGTCTTTTAAACAGATTTCAATGTGGAGCGACCCAGGGACATGCTGGCTATACACAGCATAATTACATCATGTCTCAATTTTTATTTATGAAACCCTACAGGATTTAGGATTTATCAAAGCTGCAGAAAGTAGCATTTACCGGAATAAGAAAAGGTTACATTTCCAGACTGTCACCCTCAGATGTACATTCCATACTCCCCTGTCACCTGTATGTGAAGCAGTGATGGTTTAAACAGCTAACACTTATCACTATGACTGAATAGTGGTTGTAGCTTGGCAATCTGTATACTCATTGAACATGTGAAAGTAAGGGCCATGACCCACCGAGCCAATGGTCGGCGGTTGGCCACCTCTCTGGCTTTTGGTGAGCGTCTGTTGGGGCTCGTCTTCCTGGTTTGTCCCGCATCGTTGACACAAGTCAGACCCTATCAGCGGCTTTAAAGTTGATTCAACATGTTGAATCGCCGGCGGCCTACTGGGCCTTGTCAGTGCTAGAGACCACCCTGATTGGCTGTTCAACTTACCAATTCAATGCAAGAGAAAAGAATGGTTCAGTAAAGCCTCTTCAGCCTGTGGCTGCAGTCTGCATGATCAGAATCAGAATCAGTTTATTGGCCAGGTATGACAGACACACAAGGAAATTGACTCAGGTACATCGGCTCTCAATGTGCAGACAGTAAACCAGCATAAGGCTGTGTAATATAACAAAATAGCAGTATCAACATCAACAACCAGTGCAAACAATGGAGAAAAAGCAGTATAAACAGACAGTAAACAATGCAGACAATGTTGATTGAAATGAGATAATTAGGGATAAAAATAGAGTACTTAAAACAGAGTACTAGAGACCTGTACGAGTCTGTATAATCTGTACAATGTATATATACACAGGTATTGCACTGACGATTATTGTCCAGTCATACTGTCGTGGGTTAAGTGTTCATCAGAGCGATGGCCTAGGGGCAGAAACTGTCCCTGTGCCTGGTTGTCTTGGCACACAATGACCTGTAACGCCGTCCAGAGAGGAGGAGTTCAAACAGATTGTATCCGGGGTGTGAGGGGTCTGCAGTGATCCTCTCTGTCCTCATTTTGACCCGTGAGGTGTACAGGTCCTCCATGGAGGGCAGGCTCACACCAATGATCTTATCTGCAGTCCTGACTGTCCGCTGAAGTCTGTACTTGTCCTGTTTGGTTGCTGAGCCAAACCAGACAGTGATGGAGAACAGACTCAATGATTCATCTGTAGAACTGTATCAGCAGCTCCTGGGGCAGGTCGAACTTCCTGAGCTGGCGCAGGAAGTACATCCTCTGCTGTGCCTGTGCCATGATTTGATTTAGGGCAGCTTCTTCTTGTTTTTCACCTCCACAACCTCCTTTCTTCTTCCACAACCAAAAGACCAAGGACAGAGAATGGCATTTGTTGAACAACAGGTATTCATTTGTGTTGAACAACAGCTGCTTTGTTTACATTGATTTGTTTAAAGCTTGTATTGCCGAATTCTAACTCTTCTTCTTTCCCTTTCTGAATACAGTTACTGTCACCAGCTGGTAGGGGGAGTTATTTCCGTCACGCAGGGGCAGAACGTATGTGCTAGTCAGCCATTGACTGTAGTTTGTGTGTTATGTATTAGTGCCACACTTTCAATCCAACTAGCCCAAACAAAGCCTTCGTGAGGTGACGCGAAGGTCAGACTTCATCGCTGCTAGTTCTTTCATATTGGCTTTATCTGTGGCAATTATCAAAAGTTGCTATACCACATTCTTAGACTTATACGTATGCTTTGATTATAGTTTTGGATATAAATTGTTCAACTTTTTTACTTTGGATAATATTTTATTTAGTCACTATTTTAATACAGATGCATTGAACAGGTCATAATGACAATGTTAGCATGCTGAATGCTGAAAATGAAGAAATGACACCCCACCCCAATTATCACATTAAATATCATTGCTACAATTGCATCAAAAGTTTGAAACAAGTCTACAGATAAGTGCATCTTCTCTTCATCCACTCTAGACATCAATATGTGGAACAATTGTTTTTAAATTTATTCCTTTCCAGGTACTTTGTGCCTTTGCCCTCTGGCTTTGCTGAAGCACAGCAGTTACAAACCCCAATTCCAATGAAGTTGGCAGAATACAATGACTTGCAAATCCCTTTTGACCCATATTTAATTGAATATACCACAAAGACAAGATATTTAATGTTCAAACTGATAAACTTTGTTTTTTGCAAATATTCACTCATTTTGAATTCGATGCCTGCAACACCTTCCAAAAGAGCTGGGACAGGGGCAACAAAAGACTGGGAAAGTTGAGAAATGCTCAAAAAACACCTGTTTGGAACATTAAACAGGTGAACAAGTTTATTGGAAACAGGTGAGCATCATGATTAGGTATAAAAGGGGCATCCCAAAAGGTTCAGTTATTCACAAACAAGGATGGGGCATGGTTCACCACTTTGTGAACAACTGCATGAGCAAATAGTCCAACAGTTTAAGAACAATGTTTTTCAATGTACAGTTGCAAGGAATTTAGGTATTTCATCATCTACTACCTATAATATCATCAAAAGATTCAGAGAAATCTCTGCACTTAAGCAGCAAGACCGTAAACCAACACTGAATGCTTGTGACCTTCGATTCCTCAGGCAACACGGCATTAAAAACAGACATCATTCTGTAAAGGATATTACCACATGGGCTCAGGAACACTTCGAAAAACCATTGTCAGTTAACATAGGCGCAACATCTACAAGTGCAAGTTAAAACTCTACCATGCAAAGCGAAAGCCATACATCAACAACACCCAGAAATGCTGCTGGCTTCTCTGAGCCCAAGCTCATCTGAGATGGACTGATGCAAAGTGAGCTGTGGTCTGACGAGTCCACATTTCGAATTGTTGTTGGAAATCATGGACGTCCTGTCCTCTGGGCTAAGGAGCAAAAGGACCATCCAGATTGTTATCAGCACAAAGTTCAAAAGCCAGCATCTGTGATGGTATGGGGGTGTGTTAGTGCCCATGGCATGGGTAACTTGCACATCTGTGAAGGCACCATTAATGCTGAAAAGTACATACAGGTTTTGGAGCAAAATATGCTGCCGTCCAAACGACATCTTTTTCAGGGATGTCCCTGCTTATTTCAGCAAGACAATGCCAAGCCACATTCTGCACGTGTTACAACAGTGTGGCTTTGTAGTAAAAGAGTGCGGGTACTAGACTGGCCTGCCTGCAGTCTAGATCTGTCTCCCATTGAAAACGTGTGGCGCATTATGAAGCACAAAATACAACAACGCAGACCCTGGACTGTTGAGCAACTGAAGTTGTACATCAAGCAAGAATGGGAAAGATTTCCACCTACAAAGCTTCAACATTTAGTGTCCTTAGTTCCCAAATGCGTATTAAGTGTTGTTAAAAGGAAAGGTGATGTAACACAGTGGTAAAAAATACCTCTGTCCCAGCTCTTTTGAAAGGTGTTGCAAGTATCAAATTCAAAATGAGTGAATATTTACAAAAACAATAAAGTTTATCAGCTTGAACATTAAATATCTTGTCTTTGTGGTGTATTCAATTAAATATGGGTCAAAAGGGATTTGCAAGTCATTGTATTCTGTTTTTATTTATGTTTTACACAATGTCCCAACTGCATTGGAATTGGGGTTTGTATTAGACCATGTATCAAACATCAAAGACATCTTACTTTTCTGTTAATAACATTTGAATTATTACAGCCCACTACAATTGTGACATACTGTACAACACAAAGCTGTTGTTCAAATCACTGACAAAGTTTCTATCCATGTTTGTGAAAAGGATCATATAATTTCAGGGTTCTCTGTGCACTCAGATTTAGCTTTTACCAACTACATCTCATTTTATGGCTCAGAGTGCATGAAAACATCTAAATCCCTTGGCTAATGTATATAAATTAACAGTCAAAGACTTTTTTTACACTTCATGAGCAGAATGCTCTATTTGATCCTGGCGAGTGCTGCCCCTGCTGAGAATCCAGCAGCTCTTCTCTGTTGACTCACGTGAGATAATAAAAGCCAGATCCCCTCCCACTATCCACCAGAGTCTCAGGAGCTTTGCTGGATTGATGTTAATCCCACAGAGAGGATATGGGTTGGTCCCAGGTCAGGCAGGGTCAAACCTTGCTCACTAACGCCCTACCATGATTATTACCCACCCGGCTGCTCTCAGTGTTAGCACTCAACATCTCCCTACTGACTCAACCCTGCTCCATACATACACACACAGATGTCTAGTTCCTTCCAGGTTTGGGTGATAAAGCCATAAACCAACAGAACCGCTGGTGTTTCTGTGTCCACTTGCTGCTGTGGGTTATTTTCCTAGGCCTCAAATGTTTAAATTAAACTGCATTTAAGGGCTTAGGGACAGTGACAAATGGCATCTTTTCTATCTAAGTTTGGATTGGAGTGGATTATAATCTTTGTATTAATTTAGTGCATTGTGTTTTGAAAGAAAAGTCCCTGATTCTGTCCATCAGCAATATCAAACCAATGGCCTGAGGACTGTAGGGAGTCTAGTATCTTTTGAGGCTGCTCACTGTAATTAAATATCTATATATGACCTTTTTCAAACTCTGGGGATCACAGGAACCAGTTCCTGCTGCATTTCACAGCAATTTATCTTCATCCTGTACAATACAGTCAAGGGACATCACATTAACACTACATTTTACAGTAAATGCAAATTACTTACATTGAGTGTACAGGTTACTAAGGTTTTGACTCTTTTATTGTGCTAAACATTGAAATTACCAAGGATTCACAATGGAATTCTGCACCAGAAAAGCATCACCACTGAAGTTGCACATTTGAGGAACACATTTGAGGAAGGAGAGGGCGTTTCTAAATCACCTCTCTGTATGGAATGCCATTCACAGGCTTTCAGGGCAGGCTTGTCAATCACCAAAGAAACAAAAGACGACTGACTGGCAGAAGACTATGTGACGGCAGTTCAGAAATATGTTTGTTTGTTTCCTCAACCAATGTTAAAATTCTGCCGCTGTAAAATTACACTTTCCTCTGCCCAATACAGGGAAATCTGCTCAAAATAACACAGCTGCAGCTGTGCTCATTTATATCATCAGGGCAGGTAAATGTAAAATGAAAAACTGTGGTGATTAAATATTTTGTGCATTTGATGGTGACTTGTGGCAGGTTTAATCTACAGCAATGCTAGCAGCTCCATGAGGATGTACCAATTTTTTCAGGCAAAGGGTCATAAACCAAAGTACTGGACAAATTTAAAGTTTGACCCGATGATAGTGCTGGATCAGCACTAAAGCTTTTATAATTCATCCAATGACAGACATGAATGTCTGTAGCAAATTTCATTGCAATCATTTGTGCATCATCGCACTGACTGAGCAACAACATTGCCATTTCTAAAGTTATACTGCTAGCATGACTTATAGTTCCCCCACTGGCATTTACTGGGTTTCAGAGTTTCAAACATCTGAAGTAAAAAGGGATTTTGGGAATTTAGAAGTGCTAGGGGAACGTCTAACCATATCAGAGGGAGTCTTTTTAAAAAGTATGTGAGATAAAGAAGATGAAAAGCAAGGCTGAAAGAGAGGGTAGAGGTGAAGATAGAGTGACAAATATAGAACTAGAAAGAAAAGATGCAGACACATCTGACTGCAGCCTTCAAAGTACAAGGTCTCATCTGGAGAGTACACATAAGGGACATTAACCATCAACACTGTACACTTTAAGTGTTTAACCCCAGGCTCATCTTTATCAAAAAGGCACAAAGAAAATAAGATTAGAACCTTAAGAGATCATAAACAAAGACAGACTGGGCATCCAACCTCATGATGCTAGCTGAAGCTACTACCTGCACACAGTCAGGAGTTCAAATGATGAGCCTCTGTCAACTGACAGCAAGACAGAGGAGGCCTAACAAATCACAGCTAACCAGTATTGATCCGACACTCGTAAGAACACACAGTGGCTAAGCATCGTCATCACTAACAATGTCAAACCATGGGCAGAAGCTAACAAGTATTGATACAATTTTAGCAAGAAGAACAGATATGAAACTACTGATGCCCTGCTGTGACACAAATGTTTGCAGTGACAAATGAAATGTGCAGACAGGGTGGTGGGGGAGTGAAAGGGTCTCTTGCGTTAGCCATGACACCATTCTGGCAAAACACAAACAGTAACAATGACAAATAGTACTCAGCCCCAGCTGGTAGAGTTGACACTATGAGGTCAAATCACATCACAGGTCACATGTGTTCCACAGTGATCACTGTCACCTCTAGACTGTCTAGACTCTCTTGGCTCTCTATTCTCTTCCTTAGTCTGTTCCCTGACTTAGCCCTCCCATCAGGTTTTATTTTAAACACCACTTCCTTCAGATTGATTGAAGACGAGTCACTGAGACATACTAAGTGCTGGACATAACTGCAAGGCTCTGTCATATTTGCTAAGCCTTCCTACTATAAAGCTGGAAAAGACCATTAACATTTTTCTGCCTAAATCAATATTCACTTTACCGTATCTTCAACATTAATGCAATAGGAGTGGGCTGACATTATTATTGCTGCAATTAAATGCTCAGTGTGATCTTCAATGCGTCAAAGCCAACAGAGAGAAGGGTTTTATTATGGGTTCCTATATAGAGACAGGTAATGGAGGTTGTGTGTCTTACAAATGTGTCTGTTGACAGAGGAGCTTCTGACAGTACAAACAACAACCGGGCTCTAAGACCCTAATAAGCACAGACGGCTTAACAGATATGTACACACAAACTGCCCTTGTCCACTAAGCCTACACTTGTAAAAACACTAATGCACACATGCATACTGACACAGCCCTCCTCCCTCCTCCAAGTAACAATATACGACTGACCATTCCAACGTCAGTCTGAAATCTTATCCACTGTGCCACGTAAACAAACTAGTGTTTGTCTGACAGTCTCAGCCACTGTGGCCTCAGCAGTTCAAACAGCACCCTCCTCCGTTCCCTCAGAATCTGGCCCTCACATGGAGAAGCACGAGCTCCATCTGCACGCAGCACTGCAAGGGAGGAGTACAGGGTTGTGACACCTGAAAACTCCCTGGACCTGACCCTAAAACACATCTTGACAACTATGTGCCCTGCTAACTTGAGGTAAGATGAAGCAGGAGGCAAAGACATAAAAAATGAATTGAACGAACATGAATGAATTAACTGAAACACAAATTTTGGGTGAAATGATTTCAGTTCTGCAGTTTCAAGTGTTATGAAATTGTTCTTCACCTTTGTGACTGGGTCTTAAATGAAGCTCATGACACTAGATGAAGGTGTTTTTGAGCTATGTCATAATGTACTTTATGCCACTGGGAACGTATTACAGGTAACATGGGAAAAAAGGACCCGGAAATCATTCAAACCCCAAACAACTTTTTTCCACTAATACATCTGTTATGCATTATCCATGTTGCCCCTCTCTATTACTGACGTGATATTACACAATGGTGAGTCAATAAATACCCAGTTTATGTGCTGTGCAAAGCATGAGTTTCTTGAGAGAAAAACAAAAAAACATAGAAACAGCTCAACAATGTAAGATGTTTTCCAAAATACTGAAACATTTGTTTAAACTTAAATAAAGATATTAATAGGAAACTGGCCTGAAAATATGAATAACAATGAACAGTGAGAGGAAAAACTACATTTAACTCTACACCAACAGCTAAGATTAGTTGGTGGCAAATAAACATGAGCAACCACAACAAGTGGATATTATGTTTTTTGTCAATAAAGAAAGAAAATGTTGTCATGGTTACAAACGCTTCTAAATGGGAAAGTGTATCAAGGACTTATACTGAGAGCAGCAGCTCAAGAAACACATGATAAGACAATGGATCGCTATAATCTTTTCATTTACATCACCATATATACAGTATATGTAAAAGACGAATGCTGGCAAGTTTGGAAGATGAAAATTTAGTTTTCTCCCATAATGTTAACATTTTGTGCAAGTTCTTGGCAAAAAACTACCCAGAGAGGAAAGCAGGTGCAGAGAGTACTTCGGTGAGAGAATCCAACACCTTCCTTTACACAAGGTACAGTTTCCATTCAGACAGATTGCAGATTTTATGTAATATTCCAAAAGTAAAGCACACTGACTACACTGACTGACCTGCTTCATGTTACTTGAGGATGCAACATCAATCACTGGGTTAGTGTAGCATCCAGCCCAGTCAGGTGACTTTGTGTCAACTTTTTTGTGTCGACTGACACAAAAGGTATAAAAGCCACCTGTTTCAAAACATGTTGTGCTACGCTAAGAGGATGTAGAGAATAAAAACACAAGCTGGTTTATCTACAGAAGCAATCAGCTTCCAAGAAATCAAGTCACTTTGAAGAATGTGGATGTAATCGAATTGGCAGTGACCTCACTGGAACTAGAACAAAACAGTTCCTTGTATAAAGCTCATAGAGTGCCTGTGCTTTTAGTCCATGAATAAACTCACCATCAATTGCTTTTGCAATACCAAGTTTATTTTGAGCTCCTAAGGAACTATTAGACAAATCTGAAACCCCACCCTGGACTGCAAGGCAAATCCACAGCCAGGAGGAGAAGCCTTGAAAGCTTTTGGAACGGACCTCAAGACAGACTCAATAGAAAGTCCCACAGAGGGACGAGTAAACAAACCACACACTGACATCACGAGTAAGAGACAAGACACGAGAGAGTGTTTAGGAGTCATACATCATGCAGCATAATGTCCCCTCATGGATCTTAAAAAGTGGTTTTGTTAAGAGCATTAAGTTTAACGAGAAAGGAAAGTGAAGTTAACTTTAGGGGAGGAGAGCGAAGGAAAATAGGTGACTTACCCGACTTGCGTTTGGAGCCATAGTCCCTGAGGGAGAAGCAACACAAGAGTGACATGGTTAGTGACAGCAGAAGTCACTTGGTCAGCAACAAAGCATGTAGTGACTGTGTGTGGATTCTGGTACTCCTAAATGACAAAAACAGGCAACTGCACTCATGCAAAAAACACAAGTGCAATAGCGCACCAACAAATGCATGGGTTTGAGGAAGAGAAAGACAGAGAGCAAAGGATGAAAAGAGAGGGAGGGATGACTTTGGCCAGCTGCCCGTACTCCCCGCAACAGACACAAATTAGTCACATGACTGTACAGCGGCACCACCATCCTCTTCCTATACTCCTCATCCTTCCTCCCTGTCTCCCTTCTTCACCCTGGAAGCAACCTCTCCCCCCTTTTGAAAGAAGGAGGATCACTTTAAGACACCTTGCATAATGGATTCTAATGGGATTACACCACAAAGCTAAGATGGGGGAGTTAACACAGAGTTGTGTGTGAGGTTTGCTATGCTAAGTGTGTCTGTTTCTGCACTTGTCAATAGTGACTTTTGGACTCAAGTAGCGTGGCAGCTGGGTTAAAAAAAATTGAAAGAGATCAGGTGAAGACAGAATGTGCTGTCTATAGAAACGCAGACCTGACAATGTGTCCATCTTCAACCCCCCATTCTCCCTTTTTCTTTTCTATCCTTCCCTTTGTTTTTCTCTTGTGGTGCACAAAATCATTATGTCAGTTTTCCCAAGGGCAAATCAAAATCCTCAACTAATCTCAAATGTAGCCAGCTGCAGTACAGTTGAAAATGAGACACAAGTAGGGCAGGAAAGCTGAAGCAAGATGCTGCAGTGAAGAGCTGATTCTCATTAGAACCTTCTCACCGGTGTGAAAATAACCACCATATAGTCGCAGAAACAAGGTATGAAGACCAGAAGGTGAAGTGGGTTTTTGATGACTGATAGCAACATGGCACTCATTTTCAAAAGGAGTACCACACTGTAGCTAATGGCTGCACATTTTGGGATAAAAGAGGGATGTGACTGAAGTAAGAAGATGTGTGTAGGTGCATCTGTGTTCATGTAAAGTTAGTATATGTATGCCCACAAGCGATGCACTGGGTATACTGTGAATGGTCGTTGCTGTTCCCCTACAATTGAGAACCCAGCTGCACGGACCTTCTCGGCTGGGGACAGCTGACCTCGCTGGCCCCTGTGGTATAGCTCATTTCACTAATGAAAGGCCTCTCATGTTGTCAGGTATGATGCAGAGCAAACAGACCTGGAAGATTATACTGATCTGCCAGGAGAGCAGAAACTGCTCAGGGCAGCATTACCGGTGGACCAAGCAGTGCCCTCTCACGGCATGAGGTTAATGAAAACCTCATCTTGCTCTCGCTGCGACTGCACTCAAGCTAATAAAGAGATACACTGACATGTACACCGGCTGTGCACATAAATACACAAGTGTTCTAGAAGAGCGTGTAATAGCACACAGACAAGACAGCCCACATGCATGAGCAAAACCAAATCTCATTTAAGACAGAAGAGCTTCAGCTTCTTCAGTGTTGCTATGCTCATCCTAACTTTTTTTTCTCCATCCCTTCATCCATTCCCCTGCGATCTCTTTGTGACTGGCCACAGTAGATGAATAAAACCTTTATACCGACCTCTCTGCCAAGATCACTCTGTGCTAGCAACCAGAATATGCTTCATTGTCACCAAAGTGGGACACAGTGAGAGCAGGAATTGACCCCTCGCCTCATCCCATTCATCTCAAGCCATGCTGGACACATGATTTCTAACACATGTGCAATGGATAATACCGCAGTCAGCGGACAACGACTTTCAATGTGTTGTACTGTGAAGTGTCTGGATGTGTCTCAGTGGAAACTATGTTGTGGACAGACCGAGCCACTGAGTTGGCACAATATCTGCCAGTATGTTTGCCCTCTTTGCACTAGGCTTGCTGCACTGGTATTACAGATGCAGATATCCTCTGGATGTGCTAGGGAATGTTTTATATTTCCAAGAGAATGTCACCTGCTGTGTTTTCACATTTCCATTTGCACAGTACTCTTTTCTTACCCATTCTTAGGCAAGGAAAGTTTATTTATATAGCACATATTCATACACAAAGGCAATTCAAAGTGCTTAATACAATATACACAAAGAGATAAAACATTAAAATGCATATAGATAAAACATTCAAATGCAAATTAGATACGAATGTTAAATGTAAATTAACAGCAACAATGGCATTACAGCGCAAAGTAGCAACATGCAAGTGTAGATACCTAGTACTTTAGGTAAAGCTGTGGCAGACTGTGGATTCTCACTGTTCTTATTATAGTTTATATCCATTTACTTCAGTCTTCCCAAGACGAACCTCTGAGTACTTTAATACTAGAGACGGTCCTACTTTCTTCTGGAAAATTGATGAATCCATTGCCGGCTCAAATGTACTGTCACAAATTAGGTCAGCTAAGGTACAGAATTCAGGACTACCTTCAGCTTTATTCAAAAGCAAATCTGGGTCTGGTTCAGCCTTTTCTGCAACGCAGCATGACATCATCCACCAAGGTGCTGTGTTGGCCAGTCACACACATGCATCAAGTGCACATTCCTGGTAGATTGCTTTGTAACACTGTATTTCTGCTGTTTACCTCGAGATTGTCATGACCACAGATAAAACAGATGCCACCATGATAACTTTCCAGAACGGAATAATCCTGTCTGTGAGTACTACAAACCACAGTGGCATTGTGGCATCCAATAAGCTTATAGCACAAATCTGTTCAAACAGTACATGAAATACTTTACCATTTCATTCAGTTTACAGAAAACATACTCTTTATTTGTTTGTTGAGCAACACGAAAACAGAATCTAGAATAAATTCTTGGAAAAGCCTGCACAAAGTATATACACATGATGACATTTACCCAAAATACAAGTGACCTGATGGAAAAAGTACTGCCCTTCCCCCAGCCAAACTGCAAACATAGTTTCATGTACATGCTGGATGCCTGCTGGGCTAATTGAACAGGAAATGATCTGCCCTGAGTGACAGTACAATAGGTGCCAGTGTGGGACCTGGAAATGACTGGTTGTAACTTAACAAGGAGGTGAGGACAGGAGCCAATGAAAGAGTTTTGTTAAGTGGAAAGCAGCAGCAGCATGAAAAGTACTTTTCTGTAGTCATTCCCAGGGAGCCTGTTAAGCGATTCATGCTGAGCATGGTTTGAAAGGCAACCGTGACCTCAAAGCACTATAAACAAGAACCACTCAGGGCAAAGGTGTAGGCTAAGCAGTTTCTGGTCCAATTGTAAATATCTATCTAAATATCTGTGGGTGGTTGTTGGCATTCATATTGAAAAAAGACCTCAGAACAACAACTGCATGACATCCACGGATGTCAGGAGGAAAATATTATTCAACACGCAGGCACATTAGCCATGCTAGCAACTAGCAGCTAATTACAACAGCAGCTAATTAAACCCAAAACTAACCAAGTTTTGAGCAAGAAGAGACATTATTTTTTTGTAAAAACAAAGAAAGATGTTTAGCTTGTTACCTAAACAGCTAACATTTAAGATTGTATTAGGATATGGCAGTGGGTGTGCAGCTGCTATTTTGGGCTTTCTTTACAGAGGTACAGTTTTTGAGACATCTGCAAAGCATTACAGCAAAAAGGAAGGGCAGAGTGGGGCAAAATACAGACAGAAGGTGGGAGGATGAAGAGGGAGAACAGAAACACTGAGTCCAGACCAAATCCAGTTACCCAAGTTACCAAAGTCCCTGAAGCTGAAATCATACTCTTCCCTTGAGGGCTGAGCATCCAGGTCAGACTGCCAGCTTCTTTCCTACAGTACATCTCCAAAAGGTATGGTGAGGAGGAGGCAAAGGGTGAAATTCAATGTGCAGAATACATTTTCTACTTGTGGAGAAATGAATAACTTATGTGGTTGAATTTCAAAGCCATGTTTTGGTCATAATGACAGCATGTTTTGCAGTTAAGATTTTAGCACTTGTTGTTTGAAGAACAGACAGAGTTTCATAATCTTTATTGGGTTTGTTGCCAGTGAAGTAAGACATTTTCATACTCACATCAGAAGCATCCAAATGATTTTAGTTTAACTAGTACTGAGCCCTGGTATCTGGGGTGATGCAACTATCATTCATACACCTGTGACAAACAAAATGGAATTTCCCATGTTTAAGACATTTAGTATATTTGTGGTGACCGATTATTGCACGGACACATGTTGACACGTGAAAGCAGATGCTATTTTATATCAACAGTGTTTTCGACACTTGCTTGAAAGTATGCACTAAGTGACTAAAGGGCATTGATCTGTTAATGTGTGTATAAATGTATAAATCAGACAAAGGGAGACATAGTAAAGAATGGTATGTATATCTTGAACAAATATATCAACACATGGGTCCTGTTGCATACATAAAAACACACACGCAATTTGTCACAGCGTATTCACTGACATTCACAGCTCCATAGAGCAGCAGCACTTCCATCAATGTCTTGTCAGCTCCAGATCTCTGAGCCCTTGACATTGATTGTCAAGCTAAAACAGACGTGAATGAGCATCCTGCAGCTGTACACGACAGGCGGGGTCGGCAGACTACAGAGGTTCTAACTATAAAGGAGCATAAATATGATATGATAGCTATAATTACATGTATTCTTCTAAAACACTCTGGGTCAGTGGGGCTTCGGATCCAAATAACATGCTCAGACCCCATTATACTTGTCTGCATAGTCTAGTAGTTTTATTACTGTTAGATTTATTCATGGACAATTGCAGTATACGCTCGCCTAAGAAATAAGTAAATAAACACTTCCAGAGATTTGGCTCTCTCCCCCTCACCTTGTCCCTGCAGCCCACAACCCACTTCATTCCTAAGTGACGCCAAATCCAGCCCTGAGCCTTAACATTCCCACCCACATGCCTACCTACTCTAAGCCCCTCAGGAGCCCCAGATTACCCTCACTCATCCCATCTTTTAGCCACCATCACCCTGACAA